CAATGAAAATTCTGATTCTACAGCCTCTACTCCTTTCACCCGAATAGCTGGTCTCCAACATGGTCTTTTAGCTTCCTACAACATACTGCCCTTGAGGGTATCTTTTTCTACTTTGAGTCACTGTGGACTCAGAAAGCGCAAACCACTTCTGCTATCAGACCAAGCCAAATATTCACAACAAAGTAAACCTGTGAGCAGCTCAGACATCTGACTTTGCTACAACTCAAGGTCTTTCGAGGGGCATCTGGCAGAGAGCGTGGCCAGAGTGAGATTCTCAAGCATTTGTCAAATTAATCCCCCAAGCCATACAGAATATTTAGATTAGTCCCACTATTTCCCCCTCCACTAATCTGAGGGATTATTCACTGCAGCTTCAAGAGGTCTCTGTATATACAGAAAGATACTGAATATGGAAATCAACCTCCTAAATTCAGAGGGCAATCTCAAACCATTGTTCTGCTAAGATGATGCTCCCGTAAACAGATGAGACCAGTGGCAACCACTGCTGAGCAGGGGTGAGCCTCCGACAAGAGGCACCTGGAGGATCATCTCCTTTAACAGACTCTCCGACAGAGGACCCTAAAAAGAAGTTCAAAAAATGGGCGCCTAGGGCTTTCCTGGTGGCCCAGTGGTTAAGAATCTGCCTTGCAAGGGACACAAGTTTGATTCCTGGTCCGGGAAGATCCCACATGCCTCGGAGCAACTAAGTCCATGCAGGCCACAAGCACTGAAGCCTGTGTGCCCTAGAGCCCGTGCTCCACAACAAGCCAAGTCACCTCAAAGACAGCCCGAGCGCTGCAACTAGAGAGTAGCCCCCCCACCCCCTCCTCGTGCAACTAGAGAAAGCACATGCACAGCAACAAAGACTCAACACAGCCAAAAAGAAAAGAAATACACCCGGCGCCTAACAATTAAGGTGGTTTCCCTGGTGGCTCAGTCAGGAAAGAATCTGCCTGCAAAGCAAGAGACTGCCTGCAATGCAGGAGACCTGAGTTCAATCCCTGCGTTGGGAAGATCCCTGGGGAAGGAAATGGCAAACCACTCCAGTATTCCTGCCTGGGAAATTCCATGGACAGAGCTGCCTGGTGGGCTAGTGTCAAGGTATCTAGTCACCCTTTAAAAATACTAAGAAAAACATTAAGGACAAAAATCAATATTTTCAAAAACCTCCTAAGACAGGAGTAAACCCAGATGATGCTAACAAATACCTAATGGAGATGCATGAAGGAGACTTCTGCAGTCACTGTTTGGGGAATGTGACCTGAAATCTACATTCTGGTTAAAGTGAGGCATGTTACAATAGCTTCTATTGAACAGAACACGCTTTCGCAACTATCTTTTGCACACGTGTTTGTGGGCACATACACATATATTTCTTTTTGTGTGCCCTACCACGAGCTCATTTTTCAAAGCTAGCAAAGTTGGATTTCAGAGTCAAGGTCTTAGGCTTAAGTTTTCGCTGTGTTTTTCTTTACAGCCCATTGCCTTGGGTCGAGTAATTTTTTTTTTTTAAGAATTCAGAAACATATGCTACTGTAGTTGCATGTTCAAATACCCATGTGGAACTAGTCCTCTGGACTTATACATTCATTCTTAAAAGCCTGGAGTATGCAAACAAAGATGCTATGCAGTGGGCAGAGGGCCAGTTAATAAATCTCATCTATGAGCATCTGCATGAAACAGCGCTATAGGGAGTCGCCTCTCCAGGGAGGGCCGAGCACAACTATTCTCTCTGTGAATTAAACAGTGTCACCTCAGATGGCCCACACCACATTTATTTTTTAGGCTGCTCTTAAAATATATGGATTTCTAGTGTTCATAAATGCAATGAGGAAGCTGCGGCTGAGAAGGCAATCACACAGGAGTGGTGGACATGAGCCACAGAACACATCCACACGGCTCTGCTGAGCCATCTTTGCACTTGCTCTTTTCAACTGAAATTGCTAATGGAAGGGTAATTTTCTAAAGGAAACTTGCTCTTCTAATCAAAGGGCACTCTGTTTCAATAATGATTTACCACTCCTTTTGGTCCAGGCTGTAAAAACAGGTTCTGTTTATACCAAGATCAAGATATCTGGATCGTGAACCACATTTGATCCTTATTTATAAACAATCTGGTGCAAACCTTATGACAATAATGTCTCCTGCTGGCAAGAGTGACCACTTGCCCCCAACGGTGCTAGAAAGAACGGCCTTGTTCTCTGGGCTCTTCTCTCACCTGTGCTCCCAGCCAGGTGAGGGGTGTTCTTATCCTGGAGTGCCTGAAGAGGCCCCTTTCAGTAACAATAGCATTCTTCTTATATAGTCACATACTTCTTTTAAGATGGTTTTGGTTTTAAATATTTCAGTTAGCCTTACAAAGACTTTCGTGAGAAAGCAATGGAAGAGTCTATATGCAATGAGCAAATGCAGAAAATAAAACCAAAGCGGAAGGACCTGCTGGGACTACCTAGAAGCCAGTAAAGGAACCAGAAAGAGAATTCCCTGGAAATTCCCAGAAAGAGATCACCTCAGAGCTCTGGGCTTACCCAGGCCCCTCCATGCCACTCCAACAGAACTCTCTGACACACCTCATTCATGGGGACCAGACTTAACCTACAGCCAAAGTAAAACTTATGTGGTTGAATCTCTGAATCTCTGGCTTTCAAACTGCCTTCCAAGTTTCCTCAGCAATTAAATGGCAATATCACTCCAGCCTCAGGATGCCAAAATAATTATGGAACACTTACTGGGTAGAAAAATGTGTCACATTTTTCCTTTCTTTCCTTTCCCCCCCCAAAATAAGTGGCAGTTATGCTATGCTGGTCATCCACTTTGAAAGAAAAGCAGACCAAGGAAAACAAGTGTCTGTCTCCTTGTGCACCTTTTGTATCACACAATTCAAAAGCTATTTTGGAGTCTTCTTTCTTCATTTAACCTAAGGCATCTCTCACTATAGGGACCAATAATCCTATTATATAAAATACAAAGGCCATGATGCTCTTAGTGACTTAACATTTTGCTCCATCAGATCTTTATTCAAATTCAGTTTTGTTTCTTACATCATTTCGGGTACCAAACCGGGACTTGGACAGCAAACTGGAAATAGTTCAGGAAATGGAAAAAACAACTTGGACTGAATTTAAAAGGTGAATAAATTTTTACTGTAAAACAATAATTCATCAACAAAAGGTAGCATTTAACCTTTCCCCCCAAGTGATCTTTCCATTGCCATTGCACTTAATTCACATGACTAATAAAACCCAACCAGGCAACTGCCTTGAGCCCATGTGGTAGAATTCGAACTCTGCTTAAAAGCAACTGCTACCTAAGTGGCAGAGATGAAATCACTGAAATAAATAAATAAATAAATAAATAAGGGCTTAAAATGCATTACCTATAAGAGCAGTTTAAATAGTGAAGATTTAAAAGCAACTCCGGTTTTTGTTTTTAAATTCTATTTTAAGCTTTGGAATGTTCACCAGAGAAAGGTGAAGGAGGAAGGGAGAGAAGGGACCTAATGTTCCAATCACATGGGTCTCCAAAAGCAGAGTCCCAGAGGTTGTGGACCAATTTTGGTTTATATTAAGAGAACAACAAGCACTTGGAATCTCTGAGGATGTCATGTCAACATATTACTTGGAACCATAGGCATGAGATTTTAGTGACCTCATGGGCACAGCCAAAATTAACTCCCAGTATTTATGTAACTGCCAGGGATGACAGGGCAAAGATCGCTTATAATTTTTTTTTTTTGAGTCAGTTAATAGTGTTTCTTTGGTCAAAGAGAGAGGAAGTGGGGGTACTTTTGGCTCTATTTTTTAAACATGCAACATTTATATATACAGACTACTGCCCATAACACCATCTGAATGTTTAGATGAAGGCATTAAAAAAAAAAGAAAAGAGTTATTTCCTGTTGCTCCCTGGCTGAAAGGATGCGTTTTAGGGGTATGTGTGCTCTGCCTCAGAGCGAAAGCATTGTTAGCGGTTATCAAGGTAGCATTTAAAAATAACTACCCCAGTACAAAAGAACTTCAGAGGAAATATGAGCGAAGCTATCAGTCTCCCTTCAAGTCTGGCCATGAGCTGCCTTAGATTCGAGCTGCATTCTCCATTACATTGTTATCCTTATCAAACAATGCAAACAATTTTAATGAGCTTATCTCCTAGAACATATTGCCAGATATGCTAATGTAAAAACGATGCCAACCGTACAGGCCGACTCATTAATCAAAAAGCTCACAATACAATGACCAAGATCAGTCTCATCCTCACATGAGACCTCAGCAAAATACCAGGAATTACCTTCCTACTGTAAATAAGAAGGGCGGGCTCCCCCACCCATGCGGAGGCCATAAACTCCTAAGAAAATGCATAAGGGCACCTAGTTCCTTTCAGGTCCATTGCGGTCCAATCTCTCTAATAAACCTTGGGTTCTACGGAGAAAATTTCGGTGAATGTCTGACACCGTGACCTCTGCTGTCAGTCCTTGCACCAATCAGCGAGCAGAATTCTTACAAAGCTCCATCAATCTGGCGGTTCAACATCACAGACTGCAGCTTAATCTAGAGGATTCCATCTTTCCTGCACACACATACACACACACACCAGGGCAAGCGCAAACCTTTTCCTCGCCCTCCTCCTGGTCTTTAGGCACAGCCTACCTCATGGTTCCTTTAAAAATCTAAAAAGGAAGGAGGAAAGGAAGTGCTCCGGCTTGTCTCCCTTTGGAGAGACGGGGAAATTTTGCTTGCATTTTGAAATCAATGTGGAAGCAAAGAGATGGAGGGAGACCCCTTGCAGGCAGCAAACCTATTCACAAAATGCTTCCCATCTGCAATCGGGCAGCCTCCGTGCACACCCAACATGACACATGGAAACAGACAGCAAATAACCACAACCGCCTTTACAAACGGCCGTCTGCAGCCGGGGCCGGGGGCAGCGTCCGCTCCATTATATAACGGGCGGGTTTCCGCGCGCCCGCCCGCCAGCCGCCGCTCCCCGGCCAGCCCCATTACCTGTAGGAACGCTCGCCGCGCACTGTGTGTTTCCGGAAAGGAATGATGGTCCCGTTATCCTGGATGATGTCGTTGTTGTTCTCGCCATTTGGGGACAGGGTTTGGGTCGGCCCGGGCATTGGCGCACTCCCGAGGATGAGAACAAACCGCTGTGGGCTGGCTGGGGAGGAAGGTGGCTGTGTCTCGCCTTCCCGCTCGCCCGCTCCTCGCGCAGACCGCGCCTGCCGCCTGCTCGCCGCTCGCAGCTCCCAGCTCGGCGCTCGGCTCCCGCCCCGCCCTCTCGCGGCCCGCCCTCCCGGCTGCTGACGTCAAAGCGCCGGCAGCAGCACCCTGGTCACGTGGCCCGTCCCGTCCCCATAGCAACCCGCTAACTCATCACCTCGCCTGGAATCGCGCTGGGCCGCTGCGCGACCATGCCGGCGGCTGCAGGCAGGCACCCGGGCCGGCCTACATCTGGCATGTAAAACCCCAGGCCACCCCTGGCCCCCCTCACTGACTCGCCTGGGTCTGAAAACCAGCTCTTCCTCTAACCATTTCCTTTCCAGCCCGAGCTCCCACTGCAGCTGTGTACACAAAAGAACGATTCAGGCTGAGGGGTGTGGGAGACCCTTTAACTCCTTCCATACCAAGTTCTTGTTCCATGAAAATTAAACTCAGTCTGGTTTCAGAAATATATAAGACGACCTGGTAGCCTGCTTCAAGAAAATTTATCAGACTAAGGTGTTAAAATTTCCAGGTTCCTCCCCCATTCTCCAAACAGCAGCAACCGCCTCCCCCAAAGCAACCCCAAACTTGAAAACCGAATAGGAAGCTCCATTTCCTTCTAATCAATATACCTTTACATTAATAATGAGAAAATCAAGAATTGCAAATGAAGATTTTCTGCGCGAAAGAATCTCCAAAGGGAGTTTTTTTTTTTTTAAGAACCACCATTTTAGAACATCATGGTTACCCAAGACCTCTCAATTCAAATTCTTACACTGCCTCCTGATACAGATAATTAAATCCTTGTCATGTATTTTATTTTCTTTGAATTAAACAAGTGAACATCCAATTTAGTATCTGGATGGAAACTCTCAACATTCAAGCTGCTCTGCATCATTGCTATGCATCTTTCAAATACATTGGCTATGAGACAGGTCCTATCGTTATTATCATCCCTAATTTAGAGATGAGTATACTAGTGAGATGAAGTAACTGGTGCGGCGCTCAAGGTCACACAGTCAGGAAGCAGTGAGCTGTAACTTCAAGATGACATGCTTTTTATCAATGTGATTGGACAGTGGTGATGTGTGTTTAATGTGAACTCATAAATGTTATAGATCAAGGTAAGAATCAAGTACCTTACATACTGTCAACAGTGAAAGGACAACTGTGAATAGAATTGCTAGTGCAGTGCAGTCTATGGATTAGATTATAAATTCTGAACAGATTCCAGATGTGTCCAGTGCTTTCCTTCAGAGAGAAGAACAGTTTGCCTTCAACTCATCAGAAGTTGTTCTCTGCTTATCAGAAGTGGTCTCTGATGTTTCCTGGGGTGGGTAAAAGTCAGAATAAATATATGTAGCAGAAAGTATTAGGCTCATGCCTTCCATTGTACAGCTTACCAGCTTTATTATTTTGTGATACAGATATTAAAGCAAGTAAAAACGCTGTCATTCCTGACAATTCTCTAGCATATTTCCCTGGTAATAAGCTATTTCTGGCATCAAGCTTCTAGAATTAGAATCAAATGGTTTACAACACAGATGGTAAGGATAATCTCAAATAAGGGGCGGGGGCATTTTTTCCTATTCTATAGTCTCCTTTTGAACTATATTTTAATAATTTTATTTTCTACTTTTTCCAGTGAATTCACAGTGTAGAAGTTGATTCTTTCACCCATATCTCAGCTTACATGAGTATTTTTTATATATAATAAGGATCCAGTTCCGATGTAAGTCTTAACAAGGTACATCAGATAAATATCTAAGTACAAGAGATACACAGCAAGCCTCACATTGCACAGTGAACTAAAAGGGCATGAGAGTGTAGTTACTGCTACAAAGAGCAACATTTCCTCCTACTATTTCTGTTACTTGACCCATGGCTGTCAATTTCCCTACTAATTAATTCCCCTTTGCAAAAGCTTCCCCTTTCTTTGGGGACAGTCTGAAGTTAAAAGGCAGAGTCTACAAATCAAATATTTAATGTTTTTAGCCGTCTCACTTGGGGCTCCTGAGGATAGCTTACTTTTCTATGATCCCATGTTTGAGTAACAAGTCACATAATTGGTATTATCACAGGGACTATGTTTGTCAGAATTTGAATGTAATAGAGGTCATTCCACCAGGTAATTTCATGGAGAGAACTCTCCCACTGTTTCGAGGTTGTTCTTGAAGGAGAGGACTATGACCAGGAATTTGGGGGGATGGGCTGAAAGGGGAGCGGTAGTGAGGCAGGTGGAGGAGGTACCTAAGAACCCTTGTAAATCTTCCACCGGGGCAGTTCTGAACCACAGCACTACAAAGGGCCCCAGAGAGGCCCCAGAGATTTGTGATTACCCTCCAAGACGCAGGGGTAACAGGGGTAATAATTTGAAAATATTGAACAGATGTGTTTTCATTCCCCTCCCCATAAATCAGGTTACCTGGCAGCCATTCTCTTGTTTAGCCCCAGGAAGAAGGGGAGGGCACATTCCACTTTGGGAGGGAGAATGCTAGGATACAGGGAAAGCACAGACTCGGCAGGAAGAGGGAGGGGAGAGTACCCCCACCCCAAGGCTGGAAAGAAGCAGGTGAAAGTGAGAAAAAGCAGCATCTCCCATTTTCATCTCCCTGAAGGGAGCCATTAGAGAGCTTTTGGCTTTGTTCTCAGCCTAAGGGACTTTCTTGAGCCTAAAGAGGCAAATGTCCCATTTGGGATTCTGGGAAGAGATGGTTTTTAAAGAGTGTCTGCCCAACACCTTCCTTCCCAATCAAGCTGCAGCCTCATCACACTAGAAAAATCAGTGGTTTGGTATGGTGAGGTAGGGTGTAGGAAAGAGGAGGACATCTAAAAGACTGAATATCCACCCAAGAGATGAAGTGCTCCAAAGATGGACTGAATCAGAAGAGGCTATACTTTGAACTGGCAATTTTAAATAAAACCTTTCGTTTCCCGTCTCCCTCAGCAGGGAAAAGAGAATCATACAGATTATAGAAAAAAGTAAACTAAAATGTCTGTGTACATCTGACTGTGGTTGAGGTTTTATCTTATGTACACAGGTGTACCAAAAATAAAATGTGTGCAGACCTAGATCTCCAGCTACCCCACGGAGAAATGGCTCCTCTTACCAAGCCCTGTGGATTGAAGTTGGGACTCTGACAGACCTGGGTCCCCAGCTTGGTTTCACCACTTGCTGGCTATTTGACACTAACAAGTTACTCTGCATCTCTAAGATTTAGTTTCCTCATCTGTGAAGTAGGTGTAATAATATTGGCTTCACAGTGTCGCTGTGAAGGTTAAATTACATAATATATTATACTTAAAGCAACTGACACAGTGTCAGGCCTGTAACAAATGCTCTTTAGTGGTAGATGCTATTTTTAAACAATAAGTTAAGCATACTCTAAAATGTGCAGTCACTTAACACTTATGACTGGATTTCTTGTGTACTGGAAGCTGGTAAAACAAAAAGAAAAGTCCCAGGCTCTGTACTCAGGGAACTCAGAGTTGTGGGTGAGCAAGATAAAATTAGTTGCAATTATGACACAATGTGATACCCTGATAATGGTATCAGACAGGCTGATATAGGGCCACAGAAGATGAGGGAATGGAATTCAGAATGGAATTCCATTCCATTCAGAATGGAAACTGAAATAGGCCTGAAAAGTTTCCCCAAGGAGCTATTACCTAAGCCTTGGATGAGTAATAATTATGACCTTTTTTGTTCCCTTTCTCTGTGCTAGACAGAATGCATATATGTGCTCAGTTCTGTCCAACTCTTTGCGACCCCAAGGACTGTAGCCTGCCAGACTCCTCTGTCCATGGGATTTCCCAGGCAAGAATACTGGAGTGGGTTGCCATTTCTTTCTCCAAAACAGAATATAAGATCCCTTAGGGAGGGTTCTTCAACTGTTCTGTTCACTACTATATCTTCAGTGCTTAGAATAAGGCCTAGCATGCAATAGACACTACATGAATACATAATTCATTTATTCAACAAACATCTGATTTGATTCTCACAATAACCCTAGACATGAAGTCGAGACTCAAATAGTAAATGCAACTTATCCAGGATACCTTGGCCCCAAAGTTGACATGCTTCTCCACTAGGCTGTACTATTATTTAAAACAGGAATGGCAGGACTTCCCTGGCGGTCCAGTGGTTAAGAATCCACCTTCCAATGCGAGGGATGCAGTTTCGATCCCTGGTCAGGGAACTAAGATCCCGCATGCCTGGGGCAACTAAACCCATGAGCTACGAGAAGAGCCCATGCACTGCAATGAAGACCCTACACAGCCAAAAAAACATTTTAAAAAAAAATTCTTTTTAATTAAAGGAGGAATGGCAGTGTAGAGGGGGAGACTAAGGGCTCCTCAAGCAGACATGCTTAGATTCACAGGTAGGAAAGGGTGTGATGTCCAGGGAGACAGCAAGTTGTTCAGTGGGGATGGAGAACAGAGTTTACAGTGGCAGGGGCCAGGGTGGGATGCAGGAGGGGCGGTGGCCAAGCTAAGAAGCTTGACCTTCACTTTGAAGATGTTTTGGAACCATGAAGTGCTTGAGGAAGGAACTCCACGGTGACGTTTGCGTATCAAGAAAGTCTGATGTTACAGTGGTACAGAAGACACATTGGAAATTCAAATGCATCAAGCAGTGACCAAGGCCTAAACTTAGCAGCCAAAGGGCTGCAGAAGCAAGCCCAGATTTGAGATTTTCAGAGGGAATAACTGCCATGATTTGCCAGACTAACTGATTGCAGGCATGGATGTTGATGAGAATTAAGGGTGGGCTGTGAAGGAGAAAGATATTTCAAGTGAATCCTAACCTTACGGCTTAGGTGACCAAGTAGATAACTGTTATTGTTCACTAAGACGGGAAATAACAGATTGAATTGCCTTCTGGAAGAAAGAGTCTCCTAATGTGTTTTGGACT